GGTCGGGGCGACTCCGGCGGCGGACCAACCCCTCCAACGCGGACAAAATCGCGTCACCACCATCCCATCCCCCTGCGTTTCCGGCCAGACTAGAGCCACTACGCGTGCGCACAGGGGATTGGTTGGCTCCGTCGACGCGCCTCTCGGGCCACCACCTCCCGGAAGTGGCTCTGGAATGGAGACGATAATACACGCATGCGTACTTGGACACGGAGACAATCGCACAAAGCCAGGAGCGTCACTTCCTATCTCACCCAAGGCTATTATAATATTGCTAGGTGCCAGTAAAGTGGGCTTCAATTCATAGCTACCCTAAGCACAACAAAAGGAAATAATGCCCCATCCTCACATTTGTTAAATTTGAGCCCATTACTGCTGCCACTGTGTCAATCCATTTACTTTTCCAACCATGATGTTCTTCAGGGATGGTTGACCACTCCTGACAGTATGTCCAAAGTGAAAAAGCAAGTCTTGCCAACCTCATTTCTAAGGTGCACTCTGACTATGTTTCCAAGACAGATTTGTTCTTTTGATAGCCCACGGTATTTTCAATATTCTATGCGAACATCATAATTCAAATATATCGTTTCTTCTACAGTAGTTCTTTAAGCACTGGTAGCGTAGTGGTTATGAATCAGGCTGTGAACCACAAGGTCAGCAGTTCGAAACTACCAGCTGCAAAACAGGAGAAAGAGGCGGCTTTCTGCTCCCGTAAAAATTTACAGCCTCGTAAACCCTGTACAGGGTTGCTATGAATCGGAACCGACTCCCCAGCACATAACCACGACGGTCTTTCTTTAAGGAGGTAAAGTAGCGGAATGGTTAACAGTGGAGCTAATCTCAAGGTCAGCAGTTTGAAACTACCAGCTGTTTCTCAAGAAACATGAGGCTTTCTACTCCTGCAAAGATTTATAGACCTGGAAACCCTGTAAAGAGTTGGGTTGCTAATGTTGGAAGACTCTATGCACATAACCATCGACCACCACGTTCTTCTTTAATCATTGTCCAATTTTCACACGATTGTGAGGCAAATGAAAACACCATGGCTTGGGTCAGGAGCAAGTTTAGTCCTGAAACTGACAGCTTTTCTTTTGAACACTGTAAAGAGGTCTTTCCAGCAGATTTACCCAATCCATATACGTCATTTAAATTTCTTGACTGCTGTTTCCGTAAGCACTGACTGTGGATCCAAACAAAATTAAGTTTTCACAACTTCAATCTTTTCTCCATTTGTCATAATGTTAATTTTTGGTCCAGTTGTAAGGATTTTCCTTTTCTTTACAGTGAAGTTCAATCCATAATGATGCTTAGTCTTAGATCTTCATCAGTTATTTCAAATAGAGATCTACCCAGAATACATACTAGAGGTTGCCCTCCTTGCTTCCAGAAGGGTGGGCTCTGCATTATGGGTTTGGTAGTGTTACTCCATTCTTTCTGCTTTTTGAAGATATTTCCTCTTTAGCCCTACACAACACATTGGCAATTTCCCGATTCACTGAACAAACAAGTCCCATCCGGGGGAAAAGACACTTGTTCTGCTGACGGGAGTAAAGACCAGGGCATTAAGTGGTTTAAAGTCGATGTGGAAATAAAAAGCCTGTGACACTCGATATGAAACTAAGCCAAGACTCTTCAATTCTCACTCCAGGTCACATTGAAGATCCCTAATTCTGTATCAGGAGTCCTGGTATGGCACTGCGAGATAATGCGGTGGACTGCAAGGTCAGTGGTTCAAACCCACCAGCCGCTCCTTGTATACAAAGTCGCTGAGTCGGAACTGACTTGCAGCACTTAACAATTCTGTATCATGTCCAGAGAGTTTCAAAACCTCCTCATTGGCTATTGGAGCTTGAAAAACAAACGAAAACTTTTCCATGCCTTCTAAAGATTGATGTTGAGCAAAATAGACAGTATTCTCACTTTAAAAATTAGTCTGAAAAAAGTACTCAAAGATTTTGAGAGTATGAGGGCCGAAATCAAGACTCACAATAAATTTTTCAAGGGGTGAACTTATTTATGATAGTAATAAAAAAAAATATGTATGAGTCAGAATCTAGCGCAATGCAAAATTTAGCCTCTCAACTCTTGGGAAACCTTGGCTCCCTGACCACGAAGCTGGGCCTGGTCTCTTCCTGCCCCAGCCGGCTCCCGGCGGCCGCTCACTCGTAGCTGAGTGTGCAGAGTGTGGACACCGAGCAGAAAGACGGCGGAGGAAGGCTGCTGTCGTTCTGCCCCTCTCTCGATCAATGCCCACACCCGGCAAAGAGGGAAGCCAGAACACACCCTCCGATTGCAATCGCGAGGGTCTTCTTAACCCTGTGAGTCCAACAGTTTGCTTTCTCCACAGCACCGACCAATTCTGTGGGGCTTTCAATAGCATCAAGGAGAAAGCAAATCCCGGAAAGAGGAAACTGTGCCCGGGAGGCCTGTCCGGTCCCCTTCTGGCGACAGATCTGCGCTCACTGCTCACCCTTCAATGCATTTTTCCCTTTTAAGGATTCCGCCCGACCCCCGATCCACCAGACCTCCCTCACCACAGCCGACGAAAGAAAACACAGGCTCCGAGGCCACCCTAAGCGAAAAGACCCTGCCTTTCCCCGGCTCCCGTTGGCGCCCGACGATGGCTCGAGATCCCTCGCTCACCCATCAATATGCGCATCTGCTTCTTGCCGAAGAGGCGCGAGAAAAGAGAAGAGATGGTGAGACCCATGGCAACGGTGGTACTTGCGATGGGCAGAAACAAAGGGGGCTTAGGGCGTCCCCGGGCCTTCTCCTTTCACAACCCCGGCAAATTGGACGAGAGAAAAAGAACTGAAGAAGAAACAAGGGCGGCAATGCCTGCTCTCCGGTCTGCGTATCGAACGAAACTTCGGGACCCGCACAGAAATTAGCGGGACGAGGACCTGCTGTGCTACTGGCGCGGCAGCTCCGGCTCTGGAGTTAAGGGTTTGGTACTGCCACGTCACGCGGCGGTCGGGGCGACTCCGGCGGCGGACCAACCCCTCCAACGCGGACAAAATCGCGTCACCACCATCCCATCCCCCTGCGTTTCCGGCCAGACTAGAGTCACGCGTGCGCACGGGACATTGGACAGCTACTCTGGTGTGCTACTCTGGCTGCAGCTGCAACCTCCGGGACGTGGCTCCTGGAATGGGACGACAACACGCATGCGTACTTAGTGCGGATTCGGTCGCACAAAGCCAGGAGCATCACTACCTATCAGATTCAAAGCGACTAGCTGCCCGGAAGAATGTATTCTGGGGTTGCAGTCCTTTCTTCTAGAAAGGCGAGCTGTGCATTATGGGTTAGATAGTGAATCTCCGTTCTTTTTGCTCTTTGAGACTTTCGTTACTCTAACGCTTACTCAATGCTGGGAACTTCCCCATTCCAGGAATGTACATGTCTAATCCTTGGGACGAAGTGCTTGCCCTAGTGAAGGAGGTGCAGACCGATACTGCCTTCCCCAGAAATAAGTGGTTTAAAGCTGATCTGGAAATGAAAAAGCTCTGTCCCCGGATAAGTAGCAAGGCCTGGACTCTTCACCCTTCACTCCAGGTTGTTGTTTGTGAAGTGCAGTGAAGTCGATTCTGACTCATTAAGTGCTGTTGAGTGAGTTTTGACTCGTAGCAAGCGGGTATAGGGTTTCCCAGGTGCGGCTAATGAGTTGAACCATTGACCAGCCGAGTGATTGTCCTTCTATGTCTCACTGGGACTCCATTCCGACTCAACAGCGACAGTGTATACGGTTTCTAAAGAGAGAGACTGATGGGATTGAACCTTCAATCTGGTTATCAGTCCAGTTCTTATCCTACACTACCACACCAGTGGACGAAAGAGCTCTAAAACTTCCTCATTGGCTATTGGAGCTTTTTAAGCGAAGCCAATGATAAGACTTGCTTTCTGTGCCTTTTCTTCTGTAAAAATACAGAAAGATTTATGTTGAACAGAATAGAAAGCCTCACTTTAAGAATATTTATAACTTGGTGTGTAAATGTAGGATATGCACTGGTCTGCTAGCCTAAAGGTGAGTGGTTCAAATCCACCTTGGAAACCCTATGCAGGATAATTGTGAATCAGAACCGACTCTATGGCACTTAACACAACCTTATTTTCTAATGACAAAATACACATCTTTGTTGGAGGGAGTATTTGAAAAGATTATCCCTGTAATCTTTGCCACCTCCCACATATTCTTGGGGTTTCCAAGAGAACTTGGTTGATTTGAACTGCTGACCTTGTGGCTACCAGCACAGAGCTTATATTACAGCACCAGATCAGAGCTCAGAATAATCCGTATAGAACTACATATTATAATGAAAATGCCTCCAAGACAGTTACTTGAAAAAGTCCAATTATGTAGTAGGACTGTTACTGCAGAATAACGCACTGGACTGTAAGGTTGGTTTAAAATACAAGATCGGCAGTTCAAACCCACTAGCCACTCAAAAACCCTATACAAGGTCACTATGAGTCGGAACAGACTGGACAGCACTTAACAGCAGCGACATTAAAATATGAGGGCAGTGGCTCTGTAGGATAAGTGCCGGACAGTGAACCACAAGGTCAGCAGTTCAAGCCCACTAGTCCCTCCGGGGAAGAAACAGGCTTTCTGCTCCCACAAAGACTCACAGCCTCTGTAACCCATACAGACTCACTATGAGTCAAAACTAACTTGAAGGCACTTCCAACAATAAATATGGAAATACAGATTTCACTGGTGTGTGTGTATGTAGATGCTGAGCAAGAATTGAAAGTATAGCCTAAATATTGGTAGGTAGTGGTTACCTGTTTAACATGTGAAGGCAAGAATGGTACATCCCAGGAAATAAAGGAAAGTGGTCGTCAAAGGAACATTGTTTTTAAAATTAAATCTTATTGAGATATAGTTTACATGCAGTAAAATTGAGCAATTTTAAGTGTATTTTGACATGTATTTGGTTGCATAAGTGCCATAATAGGAGTTCTGTTGTATAGGATAGGTATACTGGACCACGAGGTCAGTTTGAACTGCAAGGTTGGTGGTTCAAAACTCACCAGCCAGTCCTCGGAAATCCTATACCTGTTGGCTAAGAGTGGGAACCAATTCGATGGCACTTAACAATAATACAATAATCATGATATAAAATATTTCCATCACGCAAAAATTTCCCTCATGTTCCCTTCCCTGACTTCAGCCCTGGCCAACTACTGACCTGATGACAATTTCACATAAATAGGATCATACAATATGTTGTATTTTAATCTAGCTTCTTAGGATAACACTTTTGAGATTCACCAATGATATTGCATGTATCAATAATTTGTTCCTTTTTATTTGTCAGTAGTATTCCAGTATATAAATTCACTACAATTTGTTTATACACTCATCAGTTGATGGACAATGAGTTTTTAAAATTTATTGCTGTTATGAATAAAGTTGCTATGAACATTCTAGTGCAAATAGTTGTGTATGTACAGGAAGTTTTTGTATTATTTAGATACAAAGTCATTTTAGGATATGATGAATGAATTTTATGTGATAGATATTCATCCAGATTTTTCTCTATGAAAGACTAATGTCTATATAAACTGCAGTGGGATTTTATACTGCTATGCAACTCCTTTTTCAATTGCGTATCAGTTGTAAAAATGCTGTGGCAGAGGCATCCGACTGCCTCACACTTAACAAGTGGGAAACTGAATCAAAACCAACACCTAAGGGTGATTCCTGTGAGGCAGAGTCAGACACGCGTCCACCCTCTACCATATCTACCAATGTGACACAGATGTCATACCCATAGTACTATATATTCTGCTGGGTTCACACAGCACTCTTAGAAAATACTCACCATTATGGGTTTATTAGTGATGTAGGTTACAATTCAGAATCAAAAACAACTTCCATCAGAACAGCCTCTGCCCTGCTTGAGCAAATGTTACAAAACTCTTAAACCCTGCCAACAAATGCCCAAGGCACCCCATTCTGCCAGCAATATTTCTGCTTAATCTCAATCGCACTTTGCTGTTATCTTGCCAGTTTCTTGCTTCTGCTACTGCTGTTTCTCTGTTGCCAATGGTGTTACAACTCTCTCTCTCTCAGTAAACTGGCTATAGGAGACTCCCAGCACATGTACCCCAGGTTCAAAGAATGCACTCCACTCTCAGCTGTTTACTGATGGTCATCCGGTCCCCTCAGCTATCCAATCCCCTTGTTAGGTCACAAACACCTCATTTGCATAGTTTCACCAAGCCATTTACAAGCTAGAAAGGCCATATGAAAAGCAATCCACACACCACATCAGTGCTTACAGATTTCACTCATTCTTTTTAAGGGGCTACATTCCATTGTATACAGATAACCTCTTTAATTAATATATAAAATTGTAATATATGTATACTCTTTGATCCAAAAATTTCATCTCTAGGAGTTTATGATAAGAAAAATTTCCCTCTAGTTTGGAAGGTTAACAACAAAACAAATAAAAAAGCATCTGGGATTGATTACACGAGTTTTTAAGATTCTTAACTTTTAGGACTATACTCAAAATGTTATACACTGGTCCTCAGACATATATCAGAAGCCATAATTAAGACCAACTACTACATTTAACAATAACAATACAAAAAGTTTACTAGTTATATCTATAAGGTTTTCAAGCTGTTACTACTTTGTTTATAGTAAACATTAAAACAAATTTTTTCAAACACTTAAATTACTTTTTATGTTTTTGTGTTTGTCTTGTGGATACTGGTTTCCCCTACTATTGTAAAATACACATTTATGTGACATAGAAATGAACATTGGGAATTCTAAGAAATCTTAGAAGCCCACATTCAACCTATAACTTACTGAATTTGCTAAAAGGGGAAATAGGCTTCTTGTTAAGCCTTTGTAGAGTTGGGACCTTAGGTGGAATACTGAGCCCTATCCAGAACCTTCTGAATTGGGATATTCCCACTTGAAAAGACATGCAGAACAACACAGAACTGCTGGGAGAACAGAAAATTCTTCTTAAAAGAAATGCCTACTGGAAAAAAGTGGACCGTTAGGCTGTTTGAATTATAAGCAAGCTCTTTGCTTTGGAGGCATCAAGACAAGAAACATCCCTCAAATTATTCTGTTCCCTCATGCTTGTTTTCTTTTTAAACATTGCTTAATATTCTTCATCAATAAATACTAGTATTCAAATACTTATTGATGAAGATCAAAGACCAGAGCCTTTGGTATGGGTTGTACTTCAATGTAAAGAAAACAAAAATCCTCACCACTGGATCAGTAAACAACATCATAAAAAATGAAGGAAAAGATTAAAGTTGTCAAAGATTTCATTGAGATCACATCAACCATCAACACTCATGAAAGCTGCAGTCAAGAAATTAAATAATGTACTGCATTAGGCAAATCTGCTGCACAAGACCTCTTTATTCAAGAATAAAGATGTCAGTTTGAGGACTAAGGTACATCTGAACCAAGCCTCGGTATTTTCAATAACCTCATTTGCATGTGAAAGTTGGGCAATGAATAAAGCTGACCAGAGAAGAATTGATGCATTTTAGTTATGGTGTTGGAGAAGATTATTAAAAGGCCCATCAACTGCCAAAACAACAAACCAATCTGTGTTGGAAGAAGCACCGCCAGGATGTTTCTTAGAAGCTAGGATGGTCAGACTTCTCCCTTACTTTGGACATATTATGAGGAGGGACTCGTCCTTGGATAAGGAGATCATGCTTGGTAAAGTGGAGTTTCGGCAAAAAAGACGAAGACTCCCAATGTGATAGATTGGCAAAGTGGCAGCAACAATGGGCTCAAGCTTCCCAACTGTGAAGACTGTGAGTCGATGCCAACCCATAACAA